TTTTAAATCGAATTATTTGTTCCTTTGATGACTGATTTCTTGAGTTCTTTGTATATTTTGGAGAACAGCCCTCTGTCTGATGTGGGGTTGGTGAAGATCTTTTCCCATTCTGTAGGCTGCCTTTTGTCTTGTTGACCATGTCCTTTGCTTTACAGAAGCTTCTCCATTTCAGGAGGTTCGGTATATTAATTGTTTCTCTCAGTGTCTGTGCTACTGGGGCTATATTTAGGAAGTAGTCTCCTTTGTCAATACATTCAAGAGTACTTCTCACTTTTTCTTCTGTGAGGTTCAGTGTGGTTGGCTTCATGTTGAAGTCTTTGGTTCATCTGGACTTGAGTTTTGTACATGGCAATAGATATGGATCTATTTTCATTCTTCTACATGTTGTAATCCAGCTATGCCAGCACCATTTGTTGAATATGATTTCTTTTCCCATTTTATAGATTTTTTTAATTTTTTGTCAAAAATCAAGAGGTCATTGACGTGTGCATTGATATCCAGGTCTTCAATTCAGTTTCATTGGTCCTTCTGTCTGTTTTTATGCTAATACCAAACTGTTTTCAGTACTGTAGCTCTGTAGTAGTAGAGTTTGAAGTCAGGGATTGTGATGCCTCCACAAGTTGCTTTATTGTACAGGATTGTTTGGCTATTCAGAGTTTTGTTTTTCCATATGAAGTTGAGTATTGTTCTTTTGAGGTCTGTGAAGAATTTTGTTGGGATTTTGATGGGCATTGCATTGAATCTGTAGTTTGCTCTTGGTAAGATTGTCATTTTTACTATGTTAATTCTACCTACCCAAGAGCATGGGAGATCTCTCTACTTTCTGTTATCTTCTTCAATTTCTTTCTTCAAAGATTTAAAGTTCTCGTCATATAGGTCTTCCACTTGTTTGGTTAGAGTTACTCCGAGATATTTTGTGCTAATTAATGTGGCTATTGTAAATGGTTATGTCTCTCTGATTTCTTTCTCAGCCCATTTATCATCTGTGTACTGATGATACACTGATTTTTTTTGAGTTAATCTTGTATCCTGCTACATTACTGAAGGTGTTAATAAATGGTAGAAGTTCCTTGGTAGAATTTTTGGAGTCATTTATGTAAACTTGATAGTTTACATCAGCAAATAGTAAGAATTTGACTTCTTCTTTTTTGATTTGTATCTTCTTGATCTCCTTTTGTTGTCTTATTGCTTTAGCTAGGACCTCAAGAACTATATTGAATAAATATGAATAGAGTGGACAACCTTGTCTGTTCCTGATTTCAGTGGGATCGATATGAGTTTCTCTCCCTTTAGTTTGATGCTGGTTATTGGCTTGCTGTATATTGTCTTAATTATGTTTAGGTATGTTCCTTGTATCCCTTCTCTCCTAGACCTTTATCATGAAGGGATGTTGTATTTTCCCGAAGGCTTTTTCCGCATCCAATGAGATGATCATTTGGGTTTTCTTTTTTCAGCTTGTTTATATGGTGGATTATGTTGACAGATTTTCGTATGTTAAATCATCCCTGCACCTCTGGGATGAAACCTACTTGGTCATGATTCTGATGTGTTCTTGGATTCGGTTTGTCAGCATTTTATGGAGTACTTTTGCATCAATGTTCATGAGTGAGACTAGTGTGTAATTCTCTTTCTTAGTAATGTCTTTATGTGGTTTTGGTACATAGATGTTCAGTATTGAGATTTCCTCTTGATGGATTTTTCCTGTGATGAATATGAAATGTCCTTCTTTGTCTCTTTTGATTTATTTTAGTTTGAAGTCTATTTTGTTAGTTAATAGGATAGCTACACGTGGGGACTGAATCAAGCATTATCATATCAGAGCCTGGAGTGGACAAGTTAGCCCAAAAAAAGTGACAGAAAAAGGCACGAAATTCAAAAAATGTGACATGGCAAAGCCCCTGAAGACTACTCCCAGCCAAGATGGTGCTGAATGGGAACAAGGGGAGATCTCTTCTTATTCACAAGAAGAGATGATTGGAGTTCGTGATGGGGTAAGATTACATAAAGTGCCTGATGCCCTCATGATCCCCATTGCCATGCCATGAACCCCGTGCCGCCAGAGCAGGAAACTATTGAGCAGCCAAAGACATTCACAGAACACACGGTCTGCAATTTATAAAAAAATAAAATGAAATGAGAAATAAAAAAATAACTTCCTGATTTGATTCGGTTGGCACAATAAATAACCAGGCCAGCTAAAGAATAACAATTGCATTTTAATAGTTATAAGGGGAAAACTCCCACTACAAGAGTGGGAGGTCCGACTTTTTATATGTCCGGTGGAGAGAGAGAGAGAGAGAGAGAGAGAGCACATCTGGGTCCTCCCAGTTTTTCTTCCTGGGGTTCAGGTCCCCACACCTTAATTAGATGTGATTGGTTGAAAAAGTTTCCAATCATCTCCCTCTTTTGTCTAAACAAGATTGACCCAAACCCAATACAACTATATACTAGGAGCAGATACCAAATATAAAATTACAAGCAATAAGCAATATTAAGCAAGGAACGCATGACAAAAGTTTTACTAAACATTCTATTTCAAGGAATCTAAATATTGCATTAAAAATAAGCTTGTCTAAATAATGAGGAAGGTAACTACAATTATCTAATCTTTCACTACATCGAAGATCTGAGAAGAGAAACACTATTACTTGAGTAAACAGGAAGTGTAATCAAGAAACTTCCAAAATGTGCAACAAATGACAGAGACAACTGACTACCTGTGCAATCACCTAAACTCTCATTTGCAATGTTGAAGCAACCAACTTTGGCTAAGGCCTAACATAACTGACATACCATTTTCAAAGGCAAGAAACCTTTCAAAACTATCTTACCCTGTCTTGGCAGAATATGACAGTCCTGTTTTATCCATTTACGGATACTCTGTATCTCTGTCAGTGGTTGAGGTATGGGCATTTCTTTGCCCAAAGGCCAGTTCTGTCAAGAAGAAAGGCTCCAGGTGGAGTGTCTTTGGTGCTCAACATTCTCTCAGGAATAGATGGGTATTTTCAGGAGCGATTGTGTCTCACTACCACAGAACTCTAAGTTAGATTAAAGGCCATTTTTTAATAGTTCTTTGAAGAGGTTGAAGATTATCTATCTATACTGAATATAATCTCCATGTATCTAAAGAACCTGACTAGTCTAATTATAAATAAGACAAATATAAATGACAATTGATCTATAATTCTGAATACCTATATAACCTAAAGACTAAGACAATAAACAACTGTGTAATAAATGAGGACAATGACCTCCAAATGTAAACAATGTACGAGTATCTTGATCAGAAGTAGTAATGTACACTGCAATATGGTATATATATATATATATATCAATGCATAAAAATGTTTTAAACAGAGGTACAAGCATACATACATACAATATTCAATATAATTTAACTTTGTATCAATATACAAGAATCGATACCAATATAATTGTCTAAAAACAATAACTCACAAATACCAATCTATTACCCCATCACATACTGTTTGAGTTTGCTTCCTGTTGCTCCAACCAATGAAAGGAAAGGATTCTTTGGATTATATTTGACAGTTCCTCTTTGAAAGAAGTCAGCAGCACGAACTCAGGCAGGAACCTGTAGCAAATACCATGGAGGAACGCTGCTTGCTGGCTTGTTCCCTGGCTCACCCCCTGGCCCATACAGCTTTCTTATACAGCCCAAGCACACCTATGGATGCCTAGGATGATACCACCCACAGAGGGCTGTGCCTTCCTACATCTGCCATCATTGAAGGAGAGGCAGGTGGATCTGTGTGAGTTCAGAGCCAGTCCGGTCTATATAGTGAGTTTCAGGCCAGAGGGAGCTATATAATGAGACCCTGTTTCAAAAAAGAAAAGCGTGTGTTTATTGCTCACATCCCTGCCCCCGCCAGAAAAAAACCTCCAAACCCATTAGGAGTTACTCTCCCTTCCGCCATCCCTTAGACCTTGGCAGTCACTAAAAGATTTGCTCATTGTGTGGGTTTCATACAAAATAACTTGCACAGGAATGTGTGGGGTTTTGTGTGTTTGTTTGGCTTGGTTTTGTCTGGTTTCATATGAAGGGTATTTATTCCTCCCAGTTGCCATGACACCCAATGTGGGAAGGTGGGGTGATGGAGTTTAGCCAAAAAGCACTTCCTTGCCGAGTGTGTGCAGGGCCCAGCTGGACAAAATACTGTCCAGAATTACTACTTTTCTTATCTGTGTATGAGTTGATGGTCATTCAGATTATTTAAGGGTTATCTGTTTGACCCTTTAAAACGCTACCCTAAGGACAGGAGAGATGATTCAGTGGTTAAGAGCACTTGCTGCTCTTGTAGGGGACTGGGACATAGTTCCCAGAACCCACATATGGTGCACGTGCATACAGTCAGAAAAAAACACTTACAAACATAAAATTTAAAAAAAATTAAAATCTAAAGAAAAGAATTGAAAAGCTACCATGAGCATTGGTGTACACATATCTGATCAACCTCTCATTTGCTTTTCAGGCAAATGCTTCAACTATTGACAACCACAGCCAAAGACTGCAACCCTCTTCACAAACGTTTTGCTTTTGACATGCACCTAAAAGTGGAATCGCTAGGTCACCTGGTAACTAAGCATACACGTGTTTGAAAAACCTGCCAATGTATTCTAAACCAGCTCCGCTGCCGCTTGCACTCTCTGCCTCCCAAAGCCCCAGCTTATTTTTACGACATCTTCACTACTAGTTACTTAGGACGGAAGCCAGCCTGGTGGCCTTGATGCTATCTAGTTTTGATTTGCATTTCCCCGATAACTAATAAAGTGCCTGTTGGGCTATCTGTACAGTTGTGTCTCCCTGTAGATGTCTGTTCAGATCTTTTACAACGGCTCAGGTGTTTAAGAAAAAAAAAAAGTGCTGCAGGGTTTTAGGTGCCAGGACCAGATGAAACCAAAGATCCCAGTTACTGAGCAAGGAGGCGTTTCCCGCGCCCCGGGTGGGCTCCCGGGCTGAGGAGGAGGCTGGGCCAGACTGCTGTTCCGCTGTTCAGGGAGGGAGGGTTCCTGCTGAGTTGGAGCTGCAGCTTCACAGTTTCACTTTTGCATCTGGGCGCCTCTTAGCACCGAGATCGCGTGGGTCCCTAGCTGAGCAGGACGAAGACCCCTCCCTGGTCTCCAGCACGACCTCGCTTCCCTTGGTGGGACCAGACAGTTCAGTGGAGGTGAAGATCTGAAGGTCCGAGGTGAGCCACCCTGCTACTCAGCCTCCTAGAGTTCGGCTGCCCCTTCTCTGGCTTGGTCGGCTCTATGGCCTCGACGTCTGTTTGTTGGATCGGGGATGAAGCCCTTCCCAGAAGCCCCACTATACCAGGCAGCCTGAGCACACCCTCCTCTCCATGGCCTAGCCTCTATGAAAGCCACCCACCAGTCCTTAGACTGGGACCAGCCTGGTTTAGGCCTGAAGCTGGGAAAAAATCTCCAGACTTCTAGGACTCATGCTAGGACTCATGCTGATCCCCTGGCCCACAAGACTCTCCCTGCCTCTCAAGTGCCTTCTTGCCTCACTCTCCACTATCAGCAGGCCCAAGGAACCCAGTTTTCTAGGGTAGGACTGACCCTCCACACTGCACAGGCTGTCTGTCTGTCCCGGGCCTGTTTTGACCTCTGACCAGGAAGGTTCCTCCAGGACAGTTGGCTCATGGAGTTGTGCATAAGAGAGGAAAGCACTGAGGTCTGGAACACTGACTTTGCTGTGTGCTCCTGTGCCAAGTATTCCAGATGTGGAGGCTTGTGTGCTCTCCCCAGCCTTTTTCCTCAGTCAAGGGGGGCAACAAGGTGCCCTAGACCTTAACAGGTGGCCAAGGGCTACACACAGGAATTGATAGCGTGGATAGTACAGGGCCTGCTGAAGGCTGCCTCCTCTTCTCTCCCGTGCTCATGGCTCCAGAGAGAGACAGACAAGTGGGCCACAAACTGAACACTGTCTGTGTTGGTATAGTGGTGAGCCAGAACAAACCAGGACTAGTAAGGCAAGGCCACTTTGAAGGGATGGCGATCCCAAGTGCCGGAGGCAGCTAAGTATGGACCCATCTCTCTGCCCTCAGGATCATGCCATCGGTCTTTGTGGAAGTGGTTAGGAGCGTGCTCAAAGAGGTGTACCACAAAAAAGAGCTCATCCCAGTGGACAGCCTTGGTAACTCTACCAGCTTCAGGCCCTACTGCCTCTTGAGCAAGAAACTCTCAAGCTCCTGGTTCTGGAAATCCCGTTATAGGTGTGTCAACCTGTCAATCAAGGACATCCTGGAACCCTATGCTCCAGAACCAGGTAACTCTCTCCTGCTCCCTTCTTCCCCATCCTGAGCCCCCAGGTTGAAGAGAAGGGAGTGGGCTAAGCCCAGCCTGCCCTCTTAGTGGGCTCTACATCTTTGCTCCTCTGGCCATGTTTCCAGAGGAAGGAGTTCTTTTCAGTTATTTTTTTTTGGTGTGTGTGATTATATAGAGATACTTGGTTTTGTGCTGCAATTATGACTTTGGTTCTATTTTCACCCTTTATTTGGAATACAGGGCAGCATTCTCTTTAGATTTTATCTATCTATCTATCCATCTATCTATCTAGATGTCTATCTATTTATTTATTATGTATACAATATTCTGTCTGTGTGTATGCCTGCAGTCCAGAAGAGGGCACCAGACCCCATTACAGATGGTTGTGAGCCACCATGTGGTTGCTGGGAATTGAACTCAGGACCTTTAGAAGAGCGGGCAATGCTCTTAACCTCCGAGCCATCTCTCCAGCCCCCTCTCTTTAGATTTTTAACTGACAAACATGGTGATAAAAGCACGGAAAATAAGTACAGTCTGAATTTGGAGAGTAAGTGGCTTTCCAGTTTGGGGGCAGGAGAGAAATAGGTGTAAGACCATCTCCAAAGGAGAAGAGAACACATGCTCAGTGAGCCACCAAAGGGTTTGGCTTCAACTCATTAAGGGCACACAGTGAAGTCCAGGCTAACCATCCATGATCTTTGTCACAGCAAATCAGAGACTCCAATTGTTCCAAGTAACTGTAGTATAAGAGAGAAAGCTCCTCCAGACAGACTTATTAGTCTATCTGGAGGACTGTGAAATGTCCCCCATCCTGAGGTCTTCCTCAGTGGCCAAGGTCTTCCGAGTGATTGTGGGAGCAGAGAGTCTTTCATGTGTTCCCAGTTGTGATACAGCGCATAGAGACTGGTCAGTCCTGCCAGGCCACTTCGTCCCATTCCTGGAAGACCTCCTGTACATTTATACAACATTCCCGTCATGGTTCCGGCTGCTATTGTGTTGAGGTCATCTTGTGCACCCCGTGTTTTCTCAATAACACCAAATGCACCAGAGAGCAAAGCCAGACCACCTAGAGTATTAGCCCAAAGTGCCCCTTGCCTAGTCACCATATTCAAAATCTGTACATTTCTTGGTTTGGACCAGGCCATGCTCTGGGCTCCCTTCAATCCTAGCTGAAGACCATTCATTGCCCCAAATGAAGCCCTGTCATGCAACATCCTCCCATGGTAAAGAAAGCTAGCTCAAGTCTGCCTCAGGTTTTGTTAGCGCCAGTTGGCAAAATGAACTCATCAGTATCCTAAACAAGAAAGCCTGGATCCACATTTAAACACGGAGACAGGGGGTTCATACCAGTTAACAGAACGCCGGCCAAATCAGCATGCTAGTTACCCATTCCTCCTGCTCCGAAGAAGCCAGCCAACCCGCCAGTGGTTTTGTTGCCACTTCCCCCGCCACCCTCCATGACTTCACAGCAAACTGCAGTGGGCTTCCCACAGTCACCATCTCAGGCCTGGGTTGTGTGCTTGGCCATGGTCCCCACAGCAACAGCGGGAAGACCAGCATTTCACTGCCACCCTCACAGGCTGAGGAGGGAGTTCTTTAAAGCACCCACTGCTGCAGAGGAAAGGCAAGGCAGTGGCTAGTGTGATCTAACCTTGTAGTCGGTCTTCCTTCAGAACCAGAATGCTATGATCGCTTCAGGATCTCTGTTGACGTTGATGGGAACATAAAGGGCCAGGTGACGCTGGCAGACACAGGACACAGGGAAATTTCTGGTGCGGCTGCAGTGTCTAACAGTTGCAATGTCTCCATGAACTTGCGCATACTGCGTGTAGCTCAGAACACATGGGAGTCCCTGCAGCATGAGAGGTGAGTCCCTTGAAGGGATGGGGGCTCTCTGACCTCGAGCACCATTCTCTTGGCCAGTCTGTTGGCTACTGGGCATCAGGAGGGTTCTGAAGCAGTATCTCTCAGCACCAAGCAAAGGAAGTCCCAGAGGCTGGGAGCACTATAAACAATGGCAGGTTAGGAAGGAGGTTACTTGAGCCAGTAAGCTTCAGTCACCAGGACTGTATCCTGAGGATCATGATATCCAGGCAGGGACCAAAGCCTTGGAATCAGGCTGAGCTGCTATGGGAGAAAAGTGACGTGGACTTGAATTTATGAACAGTACGGAACAGAGTCTCTCCACAGGCACATGGGTCCCCTGGCCCCTGTTTGACTTTGTCATACTCCCACAACCACCTAGACACTGTTGGGAACAACATGAGAAAGAGCCCAAGGGAGTCTGATATCCACAGAATCCTGGATTCCGCAGCTTTTCCATCAAATCTGTCGTCGGGGTGGTAGGAAGGATGCTAGTCTATGGTGGGCAAATTCCAGCAATCTTTCTGTAGATGCCTGCGGCAACCTGAACACAGGATCCTACAACAGCTTCGGAGCCGTGGAGACGATGTATTTGTGGTGACAGAGGTGCTGCAGACAGAGGAGGAGGTGCAGGTCACCAAGACCTACAGCAGAGAGGGCTCAGGCAAGTTTGCAGTGCCTGAAGCTTTCTTGAAGGTGTGTGCTAGCCTTAGCCCTTCCCTGTCCTCACTTGAGCACATAGAAATGGCAGGAATCTAAGTACCAGGGAGCAGGATTTCATGCAGAAGCTGGTCTAGGCTCCTCTAAGACCCTTCCAGAAGCAACCTATAGCCTCACTTGCTACAACTGCTAAAGCTTGGAGTGGCCACCACCAGTGGTGATCTGTCACCAGCACTCGCCCACAGTTATTCATTTGCTCAGCATCCCTCAGCCTATATCCATCCTTCAGGGTGAAGGCAGGGGCCAGCTAAGCCGGAAGAAGATGGTGACCATTCCTGCAGGCAGCGTCCTTGCATTCCGGGTCACCCAGCTGCTCATTGACCCTACATGGGGTGAGTGTTGAGGCCTGTCTCTAGAACCCAGACTGTGTGTCAGAGAAGCAGGAAATCTGGGAGGCTTCAGCCAGCCAGGGGATGCAGTGTCATCCGGCTGCATGATCTCCCAGATGGGGTGGTCAAGCGTGCCAGGCACTGATATGTGGGTGATAGGGGCAGTCCCTCACGAGGTCCCAGGAACCCTGTGGAATAGGGAGTTGCTGATGTGTTTGCTTTTTTCCTGCTGCCAGACATCCTTCTCTTCCCTGATGAAAAGAAGAGGACCTTTGAGCTGCCCCAGTCAAGTGAGGCCCCAGACGCTCTGGACACACATATCCCTTAGCTATGAGGTGTTCTGTGCTCAGCCATGAGGTGGTCAGTCTCCTATGGAGATGGACAGACCCCCATTCCTGCCGACACACATACACAGTGGGTTATGTTGCTGGGCCTGTTTAGCTTTTCATCTGCCCTGGGCATCCAATAGTAGGGAAAGGATAGGAGTTGGGAGGGCCTAGGGAAAAATCTCAGCCTTCTGGCATTTGTCAATGGGACCCTACACCAAACTGTCCTCTCCCTTCTCCCATCCTCATGCCTTGCAGAGAATGACCAGAGGCAGCATTCCTTTAGCCTGCTTGCGACATTACGATCTATTGGGGAGCATCTCAAGCTCCTTGAAGGTCAGTATCCACATGAACAACCTGAGACTCCATGGGCTCTGCTTCTGTTCCCTGGATCTGTCCATCCAACCCAGTGTTCCGTAAGACGTCATAGGCATCAGATGGTGCTGCCTTCTGTCCCTCCAGATGGAATCCATGAGGAGCAGAAGGCCAGAGAAGACTTCCAAGGCCTGCGTGCAGAGGTGACGGCTGGATGCACACAACTCGGGGACTTAGAAATGGAGTTAAGACAACCGCTACTAATGGACATTGGGAGGATTTTACATGACCCGCCCAGCATGGAAGCCCTGGAGGCCTCAGTGAGTGACAGGGTTGGAGGTGGGCAGGGCCTGCCCAAGCCTGCACAGTCTCACTTACCTCGCCTGTGTCTCAGCTGGGACAGGTCCTGTGCCGAGGTGGACAGGTAGAACCTCTGGATGGCCCAGCAGGTAGCATTCTAGAGTTTCTGGTGCCTTCCTCCGGAGAACTGCTTCTGGAACTCGCTGCCCCCATCTTCTACCTGTTGGGAGCACTGACTGGTGAGCAGTTCGTGGGGGACAGGAAGGGATGATGGGTGCCATATTGGGCATTCCAGAGCCCTCTCAGCAGCCCACATCTCTCCCCAGTGCTGAGTGAAACCCAGCAACAGCTGCTGGCAAACGCTCTGGAGACAACGGTGCTGCCCAAGCAGCTAAAGTTGGTAAGAGGACAGGGCATGGGGGATGCCATGGGGCCCTGGTTACATCCTGAAAGGTTGACAGGATCCAGTCCTGCATCCTAGGGGCTCAGGCTACAGTTCCTCCATCTACAACCTCTTACCTTCCTCTGCCGATAGGTGGAGCACATCCTGGAGAAGAGCTCCCCATGGCAGAAGCAGAGCACTGTGGCCCTACCCCCCGAACTCCTTGGGAACAGCTGGCATGAGGAGGCTCCCATCTGGATCTTGCTAGAAGAATGTGGCCTAACGCTGCGAGTGGACACCCCCCAGGTGCACTGGGAACCAACATCTCAGGGCCCCACATGTGCGCTCTATGCCTCCCTGGCCCTATTGTCAACCCTAAGCCAGGGACCTTACTAGTCTGCATGCCTCCCTTCCCCCAGCATCCTCATGTGCTGCCTCCAGCCAGGGCAGAATTCAACACAGGGCTACAATGCACGGAGGCAAGTCTAGGAGTTGGGAAAACTCAATAAATATACAAAGAAAAGAATAAGCGGCTAAGTTTGGTTTTTACTGTTGTCTGGTTGTTTCACTTTGGTTTCTCAAGACAGAGTTTCTCTGTGACACCGTGGCTATCCTGGAATTCTTTCTGTAGAGCAGGCTGGCCTCAAACTCACAGATCTGCCTGCCTCTGCCTCACAAGTGCTGGGATAAAAGAAATGTGTCACCATTTCCCCGAATGTAACTCAGTTTTTGAGGGGTCCCTGATCATTGGTATGATGGGGAGGGGTGGGGTGTGCCCACACAGATGCAAGATGCATGTGAGTGCCTTCCGCTGACTCCTGCCAACCTGTGAGGCCGAAATGAGCCTGCCCTGTTGTGAGACAGACTTTTCCCAGGAAGACATGAACAAATGTCTACTCACCCCAGTTAGAGAATCAACAACAGACCCAAACAGGAATACGATCAAAGTTCAACCTGGTGAACCAATTAATTTTATTGAGATCACTCACAGGAATATTGGGAAGAGATTATCTGCAGGAGGAAAAGTCACTCCAAGGCAGCTGCAATACCGAAAGGCTCCACCAGCATGGGTGACAGCTCAGAAAAGCTGGAAAGCTGGAGCCCACTGCACAGCCTGCAGGCAGCTCAGCATGTTGGGCAGTGACTTTTCTAGGTGGTTCCATTGGGGCCTTTTCCAGGAAGCTCAGCTTCTTTTCTTATAGGCAGTTTCCTTGGTCTCTGCTTCTGCTGGGCAACTGGGCTTGTCTGGGAGTGGCTGTTTGCAGTCTTAATTGTTCCTATTCTCTTGGGTAAGGAGGGACCCAGTAAATCTGGCTTACTTCCTGTCTTTTTTGTTTTGTTGTTGTTGTTGTTTTGACATGAGTGCTCCATCTGAGTATAATCCTACATGCCAGAAGAGGGAGTCAGATGCCATTATAGATGGTTATGAGCCAACATGTGGTTGCTGGGTATTGAACTCAGTACCTCTGGAAGAGCAAGCAGTGCTCTTAACCACTGAGCCCCATTACTTCCTGTCTTAAGGAACTTCCTCGAAGGATGGAAACTGTTATACAGCCCCTGTGTGCGTACGTGTTCATACCCCAGCATGCCCACACATACTTCCCTAGAGAAGATGCACAGAACAGTTTAGGAGTAAGTCTGTACTTGGGTCAGGATGACCCTCTGCTTCAGGGGACTTGGGGTACACTGTAAATGGAGGTTTCTCTCTTGCTTGAGAGTTCCTGAATAACCACTCAGCGACTTATATTAATTATAAATGTTTGGACGATGGCTCAGGCTTATTCCTAGCTTGTGCTTACATTTAAATTAACTCTAGTAATTTATGCATTGCCACGTGGTCATAGCATTACCTCATTTTCTTTCTTTTTTTATTGTTTTTATTTAACTATATCTTTTTCTCTGCTCCCTTCCTCTCCTCTCCTCTTCTACCTTCTCCCATGGTCCCCTTGCTCCCAAACTCAGGAGATCTTGTCTTTTTCTACTTCCAATGTAGATTAGATCCATGCATGTCTCTCTTAGGGTCCTCATTGTTGTCTAGGTTCTCTGAGATTGTGAATTGTAGGCTGTTTTTTCTTTGATTTATGTCTAAAATCCACTTATGAGTGAGTATATATGATATTTGTCTTTCTGAGTCTGGGTTACCTCACTCAATATGATGTTTTCTAGATCCATCCATTTGCTTTCAAATTTCAGAATGCCATGATTTTTTCCTGCTTTGCAGTACTCCATTGTGTAAATAAACCACATTCTCCTAATCCAATCTTCGATCAAGGGGCATTTAGGTTGTTTCCAGGTTCTGGCTATGACAAACAATGCTACTATGAACATAGTTGAGTACATGTTCTTGTGGTAAGATTGAGCATCCTTTGGGTATGTACCCAAAAATGGTATTGCTAGGTCTTGAGGTAGGTTGTTTCCTAATTTTCTGAGAAATAACCATACTGATATCCAAAGGAAATGTTCCAGTTTGCACTCCCACCAGCCATGGGGGAGTATTCTCTTTACCCCACATTCACTTCAGCATAAATTGTCATCAGTGTTTTTTGTCTTAGCCATTATTACAGGTAAAAGATGGAATCTCAGAGTTGTTTTAATTTGCATTTCTCTGATGCTAATGATGTTGAGCATTTCCTTAAGTGTCTTTCAGCTATTTTATCTTCCTCTGTTGAAAGTTCTCTCTTTAGGTCAGTATCCCATTTTTTAAAATTTTATTACTTTTTCTTTTGATGACCAATTTCCTGAATTCTTTGTATATTTTTTAGATCAGCCCTGTCTGATGTGGGGTTGGTGAAGATCTTTTTTCATTCTGTAGGCTGCCGTTTTGTCTTGTTGACCATGTCCTTTGTTTTACAGAAGCGTCTCAATTTCAGGAAGTCCCATATATTAATTGTTTCTCTCAGTGTCTGTGCTACTGGGGTTATATTTAGGAAGTAGTCTCCTGTGTCAATGCATTCAAGTGTACTTCTCACCTTCTCTTCTATGAAGTTCAGTGTGGTTGGCTTCATGTTGAGGTCCTTGATCCATTTGGACTTGACTCTTGTACATGGCAATAGATATGGATCTATTTTCATTCTTCTACATGTTGATATCCAGCTATGCCAGCACCATTTGTTGAATATGATTTCTTTTCCCATTTTATACTTTTTTATTTTTTTGTCAAAAATCAGGTTCATAGATGTGTAGATTGATATCCAGGACTTTGATTGGGTTCCATTGGTTCTTCTATCTGTTTTTTTTTATGCTAATACCAAGCTGTTTTAGTACTGTAGCTCTGTAGTAGTAGAGTTTGTAGTCAGGGATTGTGATGCCTCCAAAAGTTGCTTTTTGTACAGGATTGTTTTGGCTATCCTGAGGTTTTTTGTTTGTTTGTTTGTTTTTTCATATGAGGCTGAGTATTGTTCTTTTGAGGCCTGTGAAGAATTTTGTTGGGATTTTGATGGGCATTGCATTGAGTCTGTTGATTGCTTTTGGTAATGATTGCTTTTGCTGTTTTTACTATGTTAATTCTACCTACCCAAGAGCAATGGAGATCTTACCACTTTCTGGTTTCTTCTTCAGTTTCTTTCTTCAAAGACTTAAAGTTCTTGTCATACAGGTCTTCCACTTGTTTGGTAAGAATTACTCTAAGGTATGTTATGCTAATTGTGGGTATTGTGAAGGGTGGTGTTTCTCTGATTTCTTTCTCAGTCCATTTATCATCTGTGTACAGGAGGGCTACTGATTTTTTTGAGTTAATCATATATTGTGCTACATTACTGAAGGTGTTTATGAATGGTAGAAGTTTCTTGGTAGAATTTTAGAAGTCGTTTATGTAAACTATCATATCATCAGGAAACAGTAAGAGTTTGACTTTTTTTCTGATTTGTATCTTCTTGATCTCCTTTTGTTGTCTTATTGCTTTAGCTAGAACCTCAAGAACTATATTGAAAAGACAGGAATACAGTGGACAACCTTGTCTTGTTCTTGATTTCAGTGGGATAGCTTTGAGCTCCTCTCCATTTAGTTTAATGTTGGCTCTTAGCTTGGTGTGTATTGCCTTTATTATGTTTAGGTATGTTCCTTGTATCCCTGTTCTCTCCAAGACCTTTATCATGTTGTGTATTCTCGAAGGCTTTTTCAGCATCTAATGAGATGGTCATGTGGAGTATTTTTTTTCAGTTTGTTTATATGGTGGATTACATTGACAGATTTTCATATGATGAACCATCTCAGCATCTCTGGGATGAAACCTACTTAATCATGGTGGATAACTTCTCTGATGTGTTCTTGGATTCGGTTTGTCAGTATTTTATTAAGTATTTTTGCATCAATGCTCATGAGTGAGACTGGTGTGTAATTCTCTTTCTTTGTAATGTCTTTGAGTGGTTTGGGTATCATTGTAATTGTAGTCTCATAAAAATAGTTTGGCAATGTTCCTTCTGTTTCTATTGTGTGGAACAATTTGAGGATTATTGCTATTAGTTCTTCCTTGAAAATCTTGTAGAATTCTGCACTGAAACCAGAATTTTTTTGGTCCTGGGCTTTTTTTGGTTGGGAGACTTTTGATGACTGTTTTAATTTTTTTAGCGGTTGTAGTTCTATTTAATTTACTTATCTGGTCTTGATTTAGCTTTGGTAAGTGATATTTATCCAAAAAAATATCCATTTCTTTAAGTTTTCCAATTTTGTAAAGTAGAAGTTTTCAAAATATGACCCAATGATCCTATGGATTCCCTCTATATCAGTTGTTATGTCCCCCTTTTCTTTTTCTGATTTTGTTAAGTTGAAATTCGCTCTCTGCCCTTTGGTTAGTTTGGATTAAGGTTTGTCTATTGTGTTGATTTTTCTGGAAGAACCAACTCTTTTTCTCATTGATTCTTTGTATTGTCTTCTTTGTTTCTATTTTGTTCATTTCAGCTCTCAATTTGATTATTCCCTGACATCTAACATCCTGGGTGTTACTTCTTTTTGTTCTAGAGTTTTCAAATGTTCTGTTAGCTCACTAGTGTGGGATTTTTCCAGATTTTTTTTAAATATTTATTTATTTATTTATTTATGTATTTATTATATATACAATATTCTGTCTGCATGTATGCCTGAAGGCCAGAAGAGGCCACCAGACCTCATTACAGATGGTTGTGAGCCACCATGTGGTTGCTGGGAATTGAACTCAGGACCTTTGGAAGAGCAGGCAGTGCTCTTAACCTCTGAGCCATCTCTCCAGCCCCCCCAGATTTTTTATGTAGGCATTTAGTGCTGTGATCTTTTCTCTTAACTGGTGCGGGAGAATTGTCTGTATTCTGTCAATCATATTTTAATAAAACGCTGATTGGCCAGGCAGGCAGTATAGGCGGGAAAGCCAGACAGGAAGTAGAGGTGGAGCAAGAGACTGGGAGTATTCTGGAAAGCAGGAAGCTCCCTCCGTAGTTCTGCCCAGACCACCGGAGAGGAAAGATGTAAGCTGCCCCACTGGAAACGGTACTGAGCCATGTGGCTAACGTAGATAAGGATAATGGGGTAACATAAGTTATAAGAGCTAATAAGTAG